ACTGAAGGCCAGTTTATGTACATGACAGGAGGGAGACTGACCTACAGCAACTGGAAAAGGGATGAGCCTAATGACCATGGCTCAGGGGAAGATTGTGTGATTCTTCTAACGGATGGACTCTGGAATGACGTCTCCTGCTCTTCCTCCTTCCTGGCCGTCTGTGAATTCCCAGCCTAAAGAAGCAGGTTCTTCAGCCCCTTCTTGGCTCTCTGCTGAGCTCTCTGCTGCTCTAAAAGAAAATTTAACGATAGTTTTTCCATGCCCGGTGTTGATTCATTCCTTCATGGGGATGGGAAGAAAATGAAGATGTGTTTGATCGCAGGATGAGGAAGTGAGGAGAGGCTGATGGTGGAGCATAAAAATTTCTGATCCAGTTTGTGGTTTTGTGGCGTGATCAATTTAATTCTAAGACCCACGGATCCAATTGAGATGAATTATGAGCCTTTATTATGAGCCTTTATTAGCTGGCCGGCGACTGACTCTACCACGCAGGGTTAGAGATCAGCCCCGAGCTCCCAAAAGAGGCAGTTTATAAAGCCTAGAACCACACCCTGGTTTAACATCAAACAAGCAAACAGATTAACCAGACTCTAGTTAACATGAAACAAGCAAGCAGATTACAGAAGCAGAAGGTGGCCGTTAGCATATCTTTGCCCAGAACCACACCCTTAACAATGGCAAAGGACACCCTCTGTCCTGCCTAAGAGCATAGCATTGGATCATAGTCAACCATGGGAAGGGCTAAGTCAAGCCCTCTTCTTTTTCAGTGAGCTTACTGCAGCCCACCAGAAGGACCAATGGAGGGCCACATCTGGGTAGAGTCAGCAGCAGATCTCAGCCTCCAAGAGATCCAACTCCTTTTTGTTCAAGTATTGCTACTACTTGATGCCAAACTCTCCTGCCCTTTATTCCTTCCCATTGGCAGCCCACCCAGTCTATGACGTGGATATTGTTTTCAGTTGTTCACAAGTTGTACCAGAAAACCTTTCACCACCAAACTGTAACGAATGGCAATACTCAATGTCAGTGTTAGGATGTCCAAATCTGAGGAGAATTTTTATAAAAAATTTATTTGAGCCAAACAGAGGATACACCTGGAAACAAGATCTCAACAGACTAAGAAAATGCTTCTCTGAATGACAATTTACAGCATCTTCTATGCATTTAGAATTAAGGAGAGAATGTAAGGAAGATCACGTGAAGGTGGGAGAAAGCAAAGGGGCATGGATTACAGAATAGTTGACAAGATTCTGTGCTCTCTCGAGGGTGGTCTGAGGGATCTGAAAAGAGGTATTCCAAAGGTGTGTTAACCTAGATGCCCGGAAACAATGGACAGGGCTTGCTTAAGGCAAAGATAAACCTTTTACTAAAGAAATTATGTGCCTGGAGAGTGACTACCCACCATGACCACCCTGTTAGGCATCTAAGATCACCCTATGAGGTTACTTTCCGTAAAAATCCTTTTGGTCCACACCAAGGCGCCTAACAATGATTAGTCTTAGGGATTTCCTCACCCTGCCCAAGTGGCTGTTGCCTCCTTATAGTCACTAGGGTGATCTTGAGGACAAGAGACAGTTTTTCCTTCTTGCACACTTTTAGGAGACTGATTTGATATTGTGGCTTATGTCAGAATCACCACAGGGAGGCAAATGGAAGGCAGGCTCCTGACCTCCCTCTCCACAGAGCACCATCAATCCCCTTCTTTCCAGGACTTTCTTATCCCATTATAGGTCAATGAGTCCTTTATTAGTAGAGACAAGGAAAAATCCCCCCAAAGGTGTTTCACTCCCTGTGAGTCAAATTATGCAGCATCATCCAGTCAGCAAAATCAAACCTCCCTCTGAGCAGGGTTCTGACACTGCCTTGGCCCAAAGTCTGCTCGTGACCATGTATGGTTTTTTGTTTTTTTTTTTAGCAATCTCAGGGTCAGTGGAGTGGATATTATATAATGTCCACTCAGTAAACTTGGAGAAGAGAGCAAATTCCAGCTACAACTCTATGCCATTCACAAAATGAGATTGGAAAATATTTCATAATTAAACCAAGGGCCAGTTTAACTTAATGAAATATTTTTGTTAAAATAGTTTTCCATTTTATTTTTCTTTGTACCTGAACTACCAGAGAGAGCACTTCATACTCAGCATGTGCTTGATGAGTATTTGTTCAATGGACACACCAAGAAATTCCCACATGAATGAGTGGATTGGATGCTGAGAAGTGAATATAGGAGAGAGCTTTCTCCCAGGTGGCTTCTTCTGCTGGACTCTCAGGGCAGGGCTGAGGGTTGGACTGGGAAATACTGAAGGCATTGGGGCTGGTAAGGTTATAGGACATGTGTTCTTAGCCTCTAGCACACCAAGGCTGTTGCATCACTGAATTTTCTATCTCATGTGGCTCCTCTTCAAGCACTACACTTGGAGGCAATGTGAAGAGTATTTTTGTGATAGAGTCACAAAAATAGAGTATTTTTGTTTATAGAGTCAAACAATTCAGTATTTTCAATTCAAATTCAGACTGCTTACCAAAGGAATAGGAAACTGCTTAAAATTTAGAGGTACACATGAAACTGTAGGTTTTAGTAGATGGAAAAAGGAAAAACCAGAAACTTTTAAGAAGAAGATACACATACTATAACTCAAAAACAAAAGAATTACTGTAATCAAGCATGAAAGTTGCCTCTGAATTTTCTCATAGCCGAGACAATGATAAGAAAATGGACAGGTTACTATTACATAATTGTTTCTATTTTATGTCAGGCATAATGGGTCGGGGGATCAGGCATCATGGTATACCCTGAGAGGAGTGTCTCCTTTCTTTACGCTGTGCATAAAGAATAGTATCTTCACCTGTAAAATTGTAAAAAACAGTCATATACTTCGCATAGATTGATCCTTAGTTTGCCTCCTCAGTAAGGGTAACACAATAAAAATCTACAGGACAAGCTCAAATTCTTCCATTCCTCTTTCGAACTTCTCCTTCATTAGTTCTTCCCCTGATCTAGCACCTGATAATCTTTTCAGAGCTCCTCTCTCTAAATGTATCCACTTGCCACCATTCTCTTTAGTCTACAATTGGGGCAAATATCTCCCTATTTACACTCCCCAGTTCTTACCAGTAGACAGTGGGGCCCATGCAAGTTAGCTCATGAGAGTCCAAGGATAATAACTGCAGTTCATCCAGTCTTCCCAGGATCCGGAATAAGAGTGAAATTATGGCTTCAAGGTGACTCTCCACACAGCCTCTCTCATACTCTCAAGAACTGAGAGCAGGCAGTTTCCTTCACTAAAGGGAAATACAATGATCAACATCTCTTGCACAGGGGACCTAACGAAGATAGGGGCTCCAAGGACAAAACTTTGGGGCTTCAGTCAGCACATTCCCCTTGGGACTTTAGAAACAGTGATTACTCTGAGCGACTTCTTGAGCCCCATGTTTACCATGTTATTTCCTAAGCTATCTTTTGAACCAAGAAACTGGCAGACATATCTGAGCTGCAATCTTTCTTTCTGCCTCTCGCAAGAGTAAAAACCTAAAGGTCATGCTGCAGAGCATTCCTGGAAAGGAAGCTGGTATTTAGATCTTTGTGGAGCCTGGGATCAGACTTCAGGGTAATGCCCAGGGGAGAACAAGGCCTAGATCTCTGTGTGCCATGTTAGGGCTGAAGGAAAGACAATTTAGTGAGTGGGAAATTTAGAATGTAGAAGCATCTCTCTGACTAATGCACCAAGTGAAATGTTGGATCTCTGGGCTTCAATCTCCCTATCTATAAATCGGTCTGTCAAGACTGGATGAATCAATGGTCACATGAAGATTCAGACCTGTAGGGCCCATTTCAGGAATAAAAGCTGCAGGATTTGAGAACTGTTTTCAGTTTTTGTTACCTGTCAATTTTGTCCAAAGTAATTGTATCCTGAACACTTATCACCTATTTCTCAAGTTCATAGAAAACCAGTCTGAGTAAGTTAGAACAGAAAATATACTTTGCTCTCGAGATGGAAACTTTGAGTTTAAATTATGTCTGTAGAGTGACATCAGAAACATGGCAGAGTGAGAGACGTCCACAGATATCTCCTCTTGAAACAACAATAAGCAGAATATCTAAAACTCAATGCCTTCTTGGGCATCACAGATGAGGTGACTGAAGGCCAGTTTATGTACATGACAGGAGGGAGACTGACCTACAGCAATTGGAAAAGGGATGAGCCTAATGACCATGGCTCAGGGGAAGATTGTGTGATTCTTCTAACGGATGGACTCTGGAATGACGTCTCCTGCTCTTCCTCCTTCCTGGCCGTCTGTGAATTCCCAGCCTAAAGAAGCAGGTTCTTCAGCCCCTTCTTGGCTCTCTGCTGAGCTCTCTGCTGCTCTAAAAGAGAATTTAACGATAGTTTTTCCATGCCCGGTGTTGATTCATTCCTTCATGGGGATGGGAAGAAAATGAAGATGTGTTTGATCGCAGGATGAGGAAGTGAGGAGAGGCTGATGGTGGAGCATAAAAATTTCTGATCCAGTTTGTGGTTTTGTGGCGTGATCAATTTAATTCTAAGACCCACGGATCCAATTGAGATGAATTATGAGCCTTTATTATGAGCCTTTATTAGCTGGCCGGCGACTGACTCCAAAAAAAAGAAACCAAACTGCATACCAGCATGTCTGAGAATGAGATCTGTGCATAAGAGCTACCACAGATAAGAACCTCTGGAGTCGAGCATGGACTGGGAGAAACAAAGAAGCTGCCTCTTGCAGCTGGAGCTCCCTGCAGGAGGAGGGGGAGACGGGAAGGTGCGGCGAGTTCCCTGAACAGCCCTGCCTGGGAAAGCTGTGAGCTCCACACAGCCATCAGCTGTGCCCAGGCATCAGGGCAAAAAGCAGAGAAATGGGGATGGCAGAGAAGCAGGGACAGCAGAGAAACAACAGTTGATTATTATGAAAGGACACCCTCTGTCCTGCCTAAGAGCATAGCATTGGATCATAGTCAACCATGGGAAGGGCTAAGTCAAGCCCTCTTCTTTTTCAGTGAGCTTACTGCAGCCCACCAGAAGGACCAATGGAGGGCCACATCTGGGTAGAGTCAGCAGCAGATCTCAGCCTCCAAGAGATCCAACTCCTTTTTGTTCAAGTATTGCTACTACTTGATGCCAAACTCTCCTGCCCTTTATTCCTTCCCATGGCAGCCCAGCCCAGTCTATGACGTGGATATTGTTTTCAGTTGTTCACAAGTTGTACCAGAAAACCTTTCACCACCAAACTGTAACGAATGGCAATACTCAATGTCAGTGTTAGGATGTCCAAACCTGAGGAGAATTTTTATAAAAAATTTATTTGAGCCAAACAGAGGATACACCTGGAAACAAGATCTCAACAGACTAAGAAAATGCTTCTCTGAATGACAATTTACAGCATCTTCTATGCATTTAGAATTAAGGAGAGAATGTAAGGAAGATCACGTGAAGGTGGGAGAAAGCAAAGGGGCATGGATTACAGAATAGTTGACAAGATTCTGTGCTCTCTCGAGGGTGGTCTGAGGGATCTGAAAAGAGGAATTCCACAGGAG